GAGAGATTTTTTAAATTTTTTTTTCCCCTTCCATGGTCTTTCACAGAACCATAAGGAAATTGAGAGACTGAGACTGACTGTAAGAGGAGGTAAAATACGGAAACAGGAAATCTACTGGGTCTGATTTTTCACCTCATCTGGGCTGAAAGAAGAATCTAGGACTGTCACAGATGGAAGTGATCAGACGTCACTCGTACCAAGGAAGAACAGGAAGATACTAACCCCACTGTGGCATATTGCTAGAGTTTATCTACTACTTACAACTAATTCACTAAAATAAGAATTAGCTACCCTTATGATCAGATTCTTCTGAGTGCAATTTTTAGCATGACCAAAATCCCATGAAAATTGAAACTTTCATTCTTACAGAGTATTGAAGTCAACAATGTGCTTATGTGTGCAGTTACTTCTTCTTGCACCTGGGCACAAAGGCATTCTTTTAATTCATAGGTGAGCAATGGAAATTATCTCCTTTCAGAATATCTCCAGATGCTATTGCAGGATGATGGCACTGGCTTGCCCTGCTTGGGCTTCCCAGGGGAAGGTCCACAGCACAATGACATACGCCAACAGACTCTGAAGAGCGATCAACACAGAGACAGTATATTCTCCAAAGACTCTTGTTTCCCAGTAAAACTCTTTTCAAATTCAGATTTATCAGGGAAAGCAGTCTTACAGGACCCAGATGTAACATATTTTTGGACCCCATACAACTCTTTGCTACTGTTTATTGGGAAAGGCAGAGGCATTTCATGTTCATATATGTATTTAACGTGAATTTAATTTATGTTGTTCTATAGAATCTATTTCATTTCCATTAAATAGCAAGATTATACACCATTTTATCTCTATTTCTGGACAGTGATTTTCAAGTGTATTGAAAATTCATAGATTTGAAAAACAGAATCTAAGTATCTATTTAGCACAGTGTATAACTTTAAATCCCCCGAGAGAAAATTTGACAGTGAATAGTTGATGTAGATGAAGACTTTAAAGTGTGAAGCTTTATAGCACTAATTTTATTTTGTGCTATCTTAAATAGTTTTTAAAAAAAATAACAAACTGAAATTTCAAGTATGTAAAGGACTTCTTACGTGAGTATGCTTTTCAAACAAGACAATCCCAATTCTCTACAATATCATTACAAACCACTAATATTTATTCAGTGTATTTCCTTCTTTACTATAATAGAGCTATGCTGACTTATAAAACCACCAGAAGATCTGAAATTGACACAATATGGAAAATTCATCTCTGGTCCAGATTTGGAATGTAAGTGCGTTACACCTGGAAGACTAAATGCAAAGTCTCATATAATGATTTACTATACACATATTACTTAAAAGTCGAAAGTCATGAACCCATTGCATTTTTAGAATAAAAATCATACAAAAAATCAACAAAAATTGTACAAAAATGTGTACTGCACATTTCTATTTCATATAAAATCTTGTGCACAGGTAAAGGATTGCTAAGCAATTGCTTAGAGTATAACAAAACAATGACCAAATTCGGAATTTAAAAAAGCCTTTTTTCTATCACTTAAGACTAATTTCTGCTTTTACTACCGTAAAACACAGTTCAAATGTTTTTGGTCAAAACCATTTCCAAGGATCATTCTTGTGTGGACAGAACCAAGACGCAGTCTCATTTTCATAAACACTGTTTGAGGCTAACCTTCAACACTTTTTTGAAGCTATTCAAATTTTGCTTCAGCCTTGCACACAGTAGCAGAAACGAAAGAAAGAATGTTTGAATCCTGCAAAAAGAGAATTTGTGAAAAGATAATTTTATAACGACTTTCAAACCATGCTCATTTCCTTACATATGCTTGTGTAGCCTTAGAATTCATCCCATACTTCTTGTACTACAATTTCAGATTGAGTTACATGGTGAAGACAGAGCTAGCCAGTTTTAGGAAGAAAATTCTTTAAATGTTTCTCCAAAGTCTACTTAGACAACTGCAATTCAGTATGGGGAAGTGTATCTAGTATCAAGCTAGCATCAGTATAGGGAAGCTAGGTAATATCAGGAAAGCCATTCTAACTGTGCACAGGTTTAAATAAAAGGCAGAAACTGGCCTACAGATTTTGAGTAAGAAAAAAGGACAAAACAGAACAAAGAAAAAAGTAATATTAATATCTTTGATTACATTGTTCTGTTCCAGTTCACTGTTTACTTTGATGGTGTCTGAATTGTAACATGTTGAGTTGAATGAAGTTTCCAGTTGCTTTTTTTTTCTTTCTTTCTTTTTTTTCTTCTTCTTTCAGAGATTTTCATACCAAATCTGAGGGTTGCAGTCCATTTAGCTTAAGTATTTTGGAATATTGCTCTTTTCTGGTTTTGTTCACAGATGATCCATCTCTCAGCTGGATGAGAGCAATACAGGCTGTTCATCCTACATAATACAATGAAGTATTAGAAAACACTACAAAGAAGCAGAGAGAAAGGAAAAAAATCAGATTCACTAAAAAGGATTTCAAATTCTGATTTTTTTTCATAAAGATTTAACGTGTAAGAAGCACAATTAAAAAAAACCCATGCTGTAATATACCCTCTCAATATATGTGGATTGTTTTGACGGAACTGTGAATAGATCCACGACTGGTTTAAGGAAGCAGTACATATGATATGCCATATTTAGCTCAATTTATGATAATCAGGAAGATAGGGCATTTAAAATAAGTTGATCAGGAAGATCACACCTTTTTTTTTTCTTCTCTTATTTCTTTACACAGTCAGTCAGGTACACATACATCCTTTGTGTGGTTAATATATTTACATAGTTTTAAGTATACTTATATGTGTACAGACCCTAGACACATATTATACACATACAATATTAGATTGCAAAATGTAGGACAATATAGCCTGTATAAATGCAGGTGATTATGAAAATAAGTGTCTGGCCTAATACTATATGCAGGACATGGATATATCTCCTTAACATATGAGCCCTTCTCCTGTCAATTTGTTCATTTAGTAAGTTCCTCCTTTTTTCTGAACATAGTCATTCACAGTCTCAATACAGATTTTTTTTAATACATTCTGTAGGATAAAAATTGTATTTTTGGATTAATGTTGTTATGGTGAAATGCCTGCACTTTGTGCTGGGAAATCGTAGAGGACTAACTAGGTTAAGGACTTCCTGCATCTGCTTTAATCACCGTTACAACATACACTGTACGAAAACTAACTTTACCTATGAAAACTGGCAAGGAAGTGACAAAATACCTGCATGTAAGTGTCTGAAACAAAATAGTCTTTTTAAAAGAAGATAAGCAGACTGGTCTGTGCAGCTCCCCTTTCTGCACACGCACGTATGAGGATGGAAATGACAGATGAGAGAGAACGAGAGAGTCAAGAGCGCGTACTTTGCCTACACTCATCATGATATCCAGAGTATCAAAAGAGCGTTCTGAAAGAGACTCAGAAAGTGTTGTGTTCTAAGCCATGAGTATTAATTATTCATCAAGAGAAAGGAATACAGTGCGTTTTTGAGGCTACCTCCACACCATTCTCAGAAGTAACGAGGAGACCACAGGGAAAGTGCTTCAAGTCCGGAGTGTGGCGGCTGTTCATCCGACAGTAACGAGCATATCATGATGATTATTATTATTTCTAATTTCGCTTTATCGACCTAAATGTCCCATAAACAAACACTCCACAATTTAAATTTCGATTTATGGCATAACGTTTTCTGTACCAGCGTCCCCATTAGCGCGAGGATTTGTTTCAGATTCTCGCACAACCTTGCCACCGACTCGCAGTCGCACCCCTTGCGCTTCGCCCTCTTCCCGGACGATGCTCGCTCCTGGCCTTCACACCGCGTTTCCGTCCTCCGCACGGGCGCGGCCAATGCGCTGCCAACGGAGCTGCGCGGAACCGGTTCCGCGCCGCACGGCGTCGGCCCCGGGGAGGCGCGCAGGGCCCAGTCGGAGGCAGGGG